CGCGCTTCCCGCCTCACCTCACCCGGCCTCCCCGCTCCGGGAGCCGGGCCCCCGCTGGCACCCCGCTTTCCTCACGGGAAAAGGCCGTCGGTTTCTAAAACCCCGGCGTTTTCGAGGTGTGTGTGGGCGGGGAAGCGCGGTGAGGAACCTCTGCCCGCCGCCGGTAAGCGGTGGTATTTACGAGTGTTTTCCACAGGAATGGCTCTCGGGAATCGCGTGTCGTGGGCGGCCGGTGGGAAAACACCAGGTGACAAAGCGTTGAGGCAGGAGGGGCAGGCGGCACGGACCGGTGCAGAAGAAATCCGGTGTGGCTCGTCTGTCCACGCACCCGCTTCAAGTGCCTCATCGTGAAGCGCTGAGGGATTTTATGGATGTAGCACGCACATAGCTATTTGACATCTTGAAACAGGCAGGACCCAAAGGCCACCTCTTCAAGGTGGCCAAGGCTTTCTTGGGTAAAGCACGAGAAAATAGGAACATCATGAGCAGGTGTTCAGCACCAAGGTGTCCAGGCTCCTTTGCGCACCAATCTGCTACGCAGAAATGTACTTTTGCTTCCCAACCGTTGCATTAAACAACAGATTATTTTTTTAAAGTCCCCTAGGACATTTTGTCATCAGAGCAGGGACTTATTTCTACACGTGTAGCTACCTTTCCTCCCACAAGTGTGCTCAGTTGCTCCTCCACTGTGGCTGCATGTCACTGGATGCTGTTTGCATGCAAAGTTTGAAGCAGGATGAACCTTACTGTACAAATGATAAATATTATACAAAAGGAAGTCTACAGTGAGAGCGAGTTACTGTTAGTCATTTAGTTTGAAAGTGTTCATTTTCACACAACATACCCAACCTGTACCTGTGGATGCGGTAACTGACAGGGTGCTTATTCTTGCTGCCGCCATTTAAGAACTCAAAGTTCAATCATGTATTGTGACCGTTGGGCTAACCATTAAGCAGACCTAGCAGTTCATAACATAGTTTTTGTTCTGTAACAGCATAACCGTTGAATATTCAAGGGGTTTGTACTGTATTGCAAAATAATAATAAAAAGCTTTGATGTTTTTAATCCTTCCTTTCTCATATTATGCTTCTATGTTTTAGAGGGTATAGAGAAAAATATTTAAGATAAAATTCACTTTGTTTCTCAAAATTAAAACCTTCAGAAAAAGCAGAGACAAAAGAAGATCAGAACGTTTCTCTGAATTGCAACGACCTGTTTGTAATCCCTTTCCTTGCACTTGAATCCAATTACTGTGGTGCCAAACTGGAAAATGGAAGAAACTCTGCTCCAATGACCACCTGAGGATAAAATAAAAGAAAGAAATCCCATAGTCACAACAAACTTGCAGACAAATCCATTACTGATAAACTGTTATGCTTCTTAGTATAGGATATTCACAACTTGTTATTTAATATGTGTCTTTTTAAGGTCAACTGTATATATATATATATTTCAAAATTAAAGAAACTTTGTTAATGAATACTAAAAGAATTCTCAGAATGAATCAACATGCATTTTGATCTCAAGCTATAATACTCTTTGTATAAGCAGAGGTATACTAGAACCCACACGCTTGATATCACCAGTATAATTTCTGCAGTTATTCCCTTCTTTCTTTCTGCTTTTCCCTTTTCTCACACCAGCAACTGACCCACGTGAAGTTTAAGCAATATTTGCATCAGTTACGTCACAGCTTTCGAAAAAGCTCTCCTTTGCCTGGAAAGGATGAGTGATGAACTCTGTCCACAAGATGACATCCACATGCAGCAAAGTGCCAGGCAAGTCCCACGACATAACAAAAATATGTTTTCCCTGCTTGCTGGGGGATTTTTCCATGCAAGTCCTCCATCCTTCACGGGGGCTTTACTCTCACCTGTGGTTGTCCTGGCTGTGGTGAAACCTGTGTGAGTCAGGACTGCTGAGACGACAACACTCCCCTGGTTCTTCAAGTGCCTTCAGTGCCGGAACACGCAGCTTGTGCCTCGTTTTACTTTTCAGAAATTGCTACAAAGTGTCTCAGGATAGTCTGGTCAGGTTTTTGCAGCGTTTGTGGGGGGCGGTTTTGCAACACTTTGGACAAAAATGGTACTTTTAAAAGCTGTTACACTACAGTTACTTTTCATTCTGCTAATGGTTATAATGTAATTTGAGTAGGGTTTGTTTGGTTTGGGTTTTTTTTTTTTTTTTTGCAGTGACAACCAAAAACTGAACACTAAAGGTGAAGAGCAAGAGCGTCTCCCTTCCTCCCTCCCCATCTCAAGTTCTGAGTTACCGTTAAGTGAATGTTCCTAAGCCATTTATAGGGACTAGAAATGATTAAGACAAACAATTTAAGCAATCAAGTTTTTCAGATCTTACAGACTGTTTTAGCAGTAATTTAAAAGCCATTCTGTGATAAAAGACCTTTTCTAAAGTATATCAAGAACTAGATTACAGAAATCTTTATTGGAGTTTTTCTTGTTATGACTCATTTTACAGCCACACTAATATATAGCAGTGAACTCAATGTGCAGAAAACCAAAGCAAGTATTGAACCTTCCTTAGTACAAATTCAGAGCCCCAGATCCAGGAGCCTTTAATCAAAATTCCAATTAACTTCAAAGAGTTTTACTTGAGTAAAAATTGCAAGCAGAATCTAGTACAGAAAAATTACCATTTTAATTACTACTAACCTGATTAAGCGATTCAGCTTCCAGTTCATACAAGCATTTACATTAACACTAAAAATTTATTAATGGTCATTTATATTCTACAAAGCCTAATCCTGCCAGAGATTTTTTTTTTTTTTTTCCAGAAGACTGCAGCAAAGATCAGGATAGCTTCAAAACAACCCAGCACACATCCCTGAAGAAATGCTGCTTGTTGAAGCTTCAAGAAACAACCTTGCAGCAGAAGCAAGCCTCGGCAGCCCACGAGCGCAGTGCTGCCACGACTCCGTAATGTCACGGGAGCTGGCAGCCATGAAGATCCAGCTGTACTGCCGATGCACTTCGCGATATATCACTGACTCGATGGGTGAACCGGCCTCTCTCTCTCTGCGGTGCTGTATGTTTAATTATCAGTAGATGGCACTCATCATGCTGCTGTGCAAGTGCAGGTCCATTTTATATGCAGATCACGGTTTTCGGTATGCAGCCTGGTAACACATCACAGAAATAAAGGACAGCGAATGGGCACGGTGAATGCTGCTCCGGTCCGGGAGAGCAGCCCACTCAGACCCCTGAGCTGGCTCAGCAAGCAGAATGGGCTGAGGCACAGGCAGGGGATATCAGTGCAGTTAATTCCAAAGGCATCAGAAAAACTACCCCGTTGGTATGCCGATGTCAATTACTACTTTTAATGTTAGTTTCTTAAAACCCATGGAAAGAATGCAGCTGCTCTCTTCTGCCAATTGGCAGCTCCCTGGTTTACACGGAGCCCTTCCGAGAGCAGCCGGTGAACAATGTGTTTAAAGCCACACTTTCGCTGTGCGTGCCTCACCTGGGTCTGCTCCTCTCCCAGCACAGGGATTTCCCGACAGTGGATGGATGGCCAGAGAACCACAACCCCAGCACAAAGTAGTGCTCTGCCTCTGGGGCTTACACAACACACAAGGAAAGCAAATGTGCAAGTCTCCTTGCCTTGGCCAAAGGAGCTAGTCCTAGGGGACGGAAGAAAGATCACCT